CAATACATGAACATCAAAGAACTTATGTGGATTTTTTTTTATTTATTGACATCTTTTAGAAAATGCATGAGTTCGTTCATAAGCGTTTAAGTACATCAATGTTGACAAAAACACAAGTAAAAGAAAGAAAAAAGGTTTGTCGGATAAAAACAGACTGGAAACACTGAAATAAAAATACTGAAAGTATAAAATAGTATTRTAAAAACTTACTGTGTCATATTGTAGATTGTTCTTTTGAAGAAATTCAAGCTTTGATTTTGAATCTAGTTCATTAAAACGGAAGCGGAAAAGATCAACTTCCTGTTGGATGAACCATCGCCTCAGAGCTTCCCTTTAAGATGCAAAGAAAAATAACTACTCATCACTTTATTCCAGAAACACCCCTTTTAGAATCATGTTCCTTTATGATATAAAACTACAAGCTTACGTTTGACAATAGGCCAGTCGGAGAATGAAGTGGGAAATATGYTCCTTTCTTCGTTTCTCAGTTTCACTTGGTCCATTTTGAGCTTTTGTGTCATTCTGAAAGGATAACAGGGATACAGTGTAGTATTGGTGCACATTATACTGTAACTTAAAACCTAATAGGGTGGTTAAAATTATGATTCTAGAAGTAACTCTCTTTTAATAGGGAATAATACTGCTCACATTTTAGGAGAATTAATAAAACAGTGAAGAACAATAAACTTATATTTTAACTTCACATAATTTTCTGTACAACAGCTCTTGTTTAAAACAGTGAATGCATTGTTTTTATTCATCTATAAAACAAACAGCTCATTCTTAGTCTTACATTGTGAACTGATTTCTACAACCCAGTCAAAAGTAATAAAATCACTGAAATACTAAAAAAAATGTGTTTATCAAAAATTCTAGTACGATGTAAAACCATCTCTACATTTTTGAGGGGTTACAAACTGTTTACATGAATCAGCTATTTTGAATGTACTTCTATTTTTAAAGATTCAACTACCGTCAATAAGAGATAAACATGAATTTGTGGGAACTAAAAAAAATGTGAGCAAAAGCATATTCGCCATCTCTCATTCATGACAATGCAATGACAACAGTCACTAAAGATATGCTTTAAACAATGCTGTAAATACTAGCATGCAGAAAGTGTTGCACTGCAAAAAAATTGCCATTGGTTTAATGTAGTATACTCACAGCAGTGGTTCTGTAAGGAAAGTTCAGGGTTTTAAGCTCATTCGCCAGTTTTTTCGAGTATTGCTCAGACTGCTTCACATGACTCACTCCCAGATTCTCAACTGTCTTCAACACTGCAGATGGATTCAGAGAAAGAAAATATCTCTAGTAAATTCTTCCAATTAAATCTTAATCTATGCGATTGTACTGATGCATCTCAGTAATCCAGGTAAAAAATTTAAAAAAGAAAAAATTGTATAGGTCTTCTGGACGGGTTCTTCTCTGATGAAATGTTTCGTCTCTCCTCCAAGAGAATTCTTCAGTCTGAGAGTTTCAGGCGAAATTCAGGCTTTTAAGCCCTGCCTCCATGTGACTGATGCTCACATCGCATGGCTATCGTTGACACCTAATTAACACCTATTGTTAACAGGGGGTGGAGTGATACTGGCAATAGCAGCACTGTAGGAGGGGGACAACTGAAAACGGAGGCCTCCACCTCTGTTTAATGATGGACGGTCTTTCTTCACAAAAATGGCTTCTTTTACTCCTCTCTCAAACCAATCATCGGGGAAACAAAGCAGCCACTGTTCAAAAGAATGTCCCAACACAGACGAGCTACATCTAATGGCCAGAAC